CTCTCTCTCTCTCTCTCTCTCTCTCTCTCTCTCTTGTATTTGTGCGTTCGAATGCTGTGATGCCCGCGCGATTATCTGGGCGATAACAATGAGGGGTCCTAAGCTGGGAAGGATGGGCCAATTACGGAAGATCGGGATTGAAGGGAAATTGCATCGGTGTCCTCGTTTCTTCGTCTTTTTGCATCGTCTCTTTTCGGATGATTGGGTGCAGCGCCGGGCGAGTCCTGGGATGATCGATTGAGTGGCGTGCCGTCGAGCGCGCGGATAATACTGGTTGACGTCGTTCCTCTTCATTTTCTGCTGTTGGATTTTAGGCGCGGAGACCGCGCGGGAATTTTTGCTTCATTCTTTTTGAATTTTCTTTTCGAATCTTGTCGAGCCCCAACGGCTCTTGAAATCGCGGACTTCCCTTTCGGAATTTGTGCTTTTCGCTTTTTCTGCATTAGATAGGAATTTAGGAATATAGGAATTTTGGATTTTTCTTTTGTCGCGCCGCGCTTTTTGCTTACGCGCTTCTTTTTGCGGCTGCAACGGAGCTCTGATTAGTCGGCACCCTTAATCTTGCACGTAACTGTAATTTTTGGGCGGGCGCATTGTAAATGTATCTTTCTTCTTGAGCTTCGTCTTTCCCGTTCTCCCCTTCCTTTTTGCTGTGCCTGGTTAGCCCACGGCCTGCATGCTCGGATCGATGCGTGGAGAGTGGCTACGTCCCCCACGCCGCGGTCTGGCCATGCAGAACGTGGGCACTCCCTCTCCTAATCTCCTTTCTAAGTCCTTGCAATTCTGTGTTCTTCGCGCATGCATGAACGCTATAAATTCGGGCTGCGCGATTAGATAGCTCTCTTAACCAGCTGTTGGAAGCTCGGGGTAGCGCGATCACTGAGGGGCGGCTCACGAGCGAAGTAAGAGGTGAGTTGAAGTGGAGTCGGGCGACCCGACGAGCTGGTGTCGAACGCGCAGGGTTAACGCGGGCCACGTCGGACTGTGGGCGCGGGCGAACCTGACGGGTGCGGGAGGACTAAGCGGGGTGACGACTTCGTGGGTCAGACTGTCCGCATCGGAGAGAGAGAGAGAGAGGAAGAGGGAGCTGAGGTTGATGGACGTGGATTTGCAGTTTTCTTTGTCTTTCCTCCCTCTTTGCTTTTGTATATAAATTTTGATCTCGACTCACGGCGATTCGCCCGTTTCCTTTTGTTTTTGAAATTTTGGTTCCGCCCACACTTGTTTTTGCGATTGGTCTCGATCTCGTTTATCGTATGAATGAATGAATGAATGTTGTGATTGTTGGCTTTTCTTTCGTCTGTCCGTGCCTTTGCTTGTCCTTTTGATACACTTGTGAGCATAGTAGGAACTTTCACGTAGCCGTCTCTATTGATCTTTTTTTTCTTCGATTTACTGTTGTTGCTGTGGTGCCTGATGTGTAGTAGCACCTTGTATGCTCAGGAACGATTGCGCGCGGGATCACGAAGTAATCAGAGGATTGGGTAGTGGTTTGTCCAGAAACAAGCGAATACGTCGCGGGGGTGCGTGTAAGCGCGATCTGATCTGTGCAGCCTACACGTATCCACGCGCGTCGATTCACGACCATCGACGAACTTGACGCCTTCGGGTACGCACCTAAACAGAGAGGAATTTTGATATCACGTCGGAACATCCCCTTGCCAATTAGACGCGTGTCCCATCGCGATGATAAGATGCCGAGCTCCTAGGACTCGGAATACTTTGACCCTTGGGTGAGGGAATGTATTAGGCAAAGATATTCGGAATTCCCCTGCTTAACCGAGAATCGATTGTGCCCCAGGGAATTTCACTGTGCCGTAACCAGCGATCCGAGGTGCCCCGATTACCCGACTACGAATAACTCGCGCTACTTCATATCCCCCGGTTTCTTTGTTATCACCACTAATTTCCCTCCCTTTCGTCTTCTCCTCCCGTATCACCAACTTACGGTGGTTCCGTGGAATTCCATCGCCCCGTACTGGCCCCGCACGCCTTGCGGAAATTGTTGGCGATGCGGCAACCGGCGATCCCCTGACACCAGAGGACCTAATCCAAACGCGCGACGACAGACGCCATGTGTCTGCAGTCAAAGGTCCGACTCCTCGGGAACACCGCAATCCTGGGCGGGCCTCTCCCGAACCGCCGCCCTCAAAACAGACGGAACGGGCGGCCTTGAAATGCACCATGAAATGCACCACGCATGCCATCTGCCTTATGCTGCACGATATCCAATGCAAACAGACCGAAGCTAATCCGCCCCCTTAGCCCTATTGCACCTGTGCCCCTGAAACTTCGCCATAGGAGATCTCAGTTCCGACCTGGGACTCCACCCCCACTTTCCCAAAAATCCTTAGCACACCCCTTTTCGCACTTCCAGGCCCACATCCCACTCCGATCAGGAAGTCGCGTTGGGCGTGAGGTTGGTATCGGAGCCCGACACGTGGCAGGGTTGTAGGATTAACAGCACGATAACTGAGCGATCTGGCTAACCGAGTGCGACCTCGACCCCGGAACTCGC